TCCTGTTCCCCAAATGGTTCTTGATGTATCAGTAAAGATGCTAGTGGCTAATGGCTGGGTGGAAGAGGCAGGACTTTCAGGTTCCCACAGGCAGGCTAGGAGACTCAGGAGGAGGAAAGAAAATTCACCATGCTTTGGAGGGAGAGAGAGCCATCAGCCATGTGAGATCTAGGGTGGAGTCGCCATTGGTAGCTTTCCCAACTGGGCCTGGGGTAGCAGGTGGGAGATTAGAAATGCAACTATGCTGAGGGCAGATTTAGGGTGCTGAGCAAGGAGAAGGTAACTGGGCAACTTAGCTGAGGGAGAATTTAGAGGTGTTGAGCTTATTGTGAAGGTAAGGGCATGTTAGCCATGGGAGGCTTAATGTGCCCTGCCATTGAGCTAAAAACAAATTAAAAATAAGCATGTGTGTGTGTGTGTGTGTGTGTGTGTGTGTGTGTGATATGTGGATCCAGGAGAACCAGGGTGGTGGCTGATAGTGCATTCTGTCTGGAGCTTAGAACGGGATAGTAGAAACTACATGCTACATACCTGACTCATATAGCCCTATGTTCAGACAGGGTATGACCTCCTATGCTGCAGCAAACTTTAGAGTCTGTCTTACTCATTTTTTCTTTTTATTTATTTTTTTACAAGTAGACTCCTGGTGTCTTGGGTCAGCTTTCGCAGGAGCTATGAAATCAGTAACTGGTTTTAAATATTGAAAGCAAAAGTTACTTGTTTAGATAGAACCAGCACATGGAAGGTGTTAAGAGAAGTAGTAGGTTGTATGAGATTCAAAGGACACACGTTACACCTGAGTTGAAGAAAGTTAGGCTGGTGTAAAAACATGGTGGTGGTGTTTGTCTCTGAGAAGCAAAACTTCAAGCTAGAGAAAAGTTGAATCCAAAAAAACAGTGAATCTCACTTTTTCTGGATATTTTCCAATGGTTGTGGATGTCTTACACCATCGCCTCTGAGTAACTGAATCTGTATTTCCCACAAAGATCAAAACATCAACACAGCTCTTCAACTCAAGAAGTTACCATCTCATTTTCAGACCATCTAGAGATTATAGCCATTACAGCTAGAAACCTAGTTGAAAACTGTCTATTGCATTTCTTTATGTCCCCAGTGTCCTTCATTGTAGACTATATCTTTGTCTTAGTCTTCCCTTAGCTAATGATCCTAACATTTTCAAAGTTTACATGCTAATTATTGTATAAAATCTCCCCTCAGGTTTGTCTAATACATTTTCAATCTTGGTTTTAGATTATATATCGTTGGCCTAATGATTTTAAACATAGGTCTGGGGGCATGGCTCAGTCAATATAAGGTGGCTGAGTAAGCATGGGGAACCTAGGTTCTGGTTTCCTGAACTTACATAAAAAGATGACTTACACAGTCATCTGAACCTGCAGCCTCAGCACTGGGAGGCGATTTCATAAAGACAGACAGATAGTGAAACTCACTGGCCATCCAGCTGAGCCAAGTCAAATTCAGGTTCAATCGGAGGCCCTGTCTAAAAAAATAAAGATGGAGAGTCAGGAGAAAAGACACTTTACTCAACTTCTGGCCTCCACAATCGAACTCCCCTACACATACACACATACATGTGTGTACAAACACACATGCACATACTTACATTAACAAGTACTTACCACACTACACACATATATGTGCACATGTGTAATATCTATAAGCACATATGCACATACCTACTCTAACAAGTACTTACCACACCATAACATTCACACACACACACACCCAGAGAGAGAGAGAGAGAGAGAAACTGCACTCTTTCCTTTGTGTTTTGTTAGATAGATAATAGTTCATCTTGTGTTGTTGCTTATGATCATTTTAAGCATTTGAGCAATTTTGAATAAAGTGACATTCAATAGGCATGTCAACTGTGAGGTAACTGGATTTTTTTCTTTTTGCAGTTAATAACATTGTGTGTGTGTTGGGGGTGGGGTGTTGGGTGTAATTTTCAAAGCACTCAGAGCTCATTCTCTGCATAGTTTCCATCCGCATGCTTATTTACTCCTGTACATTTGGCCTTGTGATCTCTTCTTTCATTTACTAAGCTGGAATCTAAAAACTTTGTCTTATCTTTGACCTTCTAACTATTCCTGATTTGGTGACTAGAAGCCCATTCAACTTGGCTTTGCTTATCTTTTGACATGTCTCCATTATTTAGTAAGCATTTATTTGTATCAGATACTGTAAGATATTATAGACTCATACTATACATTTTCTGTCCAGACCCTACTTCCTTGTGGCTAAAGGTATTTAGAAACCAAGATCTGGGTGTTGTTTGTGTTTGTGACTTTTGTCCCTATGCAATGCCCTTCCACTGTCATAGCTAGGGAATATGTGCACACATTTGTACACCAATACTTCAACTCATTTGTTTGTTTCTATATCTATCCTATATTTTGAAAGGCCTGAGATTATAGTAATGTTTTTAATTTATCAGTTCCTATAGGGTTTTATATTCATAACCTCTTCCTCTGAGCTGAAACTCTGTATAGCTAGCTCCTTTTATTATTTTAATTTTATGAACTCTATTATTTAAAAAAAAGTGCAAATGAAAACATTACAACTCAATAGGCTTCATTGAATTAGAATATGTATTTAGGATGGAATCTGTGGAGCATCACATTACATTTTATAGTTATGCTTGCTTTCAAGATTATATATATATATATATATATATATATATATATATATATACTTATCCACCACCCAAAACAAAAAAAAATACAGAATTAGAGCTAGAAAAACAACTGACTTCATCTCCACTTTCATAGCTGGTGTCCATTACCTGTATTTAGTCCTAACTTCTAAGATTTGTCCCCATCACAGTCCAGACACGTGACTCATTCCATTGCAGTTCCTGCCCTTCTCCTTCCTCACTCCAGTCAGGTTGTAGGATGCTGTCATGTCCCTGTTCCTTCTGTGGGGCACCTTTTTAAAACAATCATTTTATCTCTGTACATTTCAGCTGCTTCCCCCCTCCAGGTCCCCCCCACACACACAGTTCCTCATCTAAGTCCTCCTCCCCCTTGCCTCCTAGAGGGTGCTCCCTCCCATCACCAGGCATTCCCCTTCACTGGGGCCTCAAGTCTCTGGAGGATTAGGCATGTCTTCTCCTACTGAGGCCAGACCAGGCAATCCTCTGCTATATATGTGCCAGGGTAGGGGTAGGGGTAGGGCGAGGCTGTCTGGACCAGTCTGTGTATGCTCCTGGTTGGTCACTCAGTCTCTGGGAGCTTCCAGGGGTCTGGGTTAGTTGAGACTGCTGGTCTTCCTATGGGGTTGCCCTCCCCTTCAGCTTCTTTAATCCTTCCCCTAATTCAACCATAGGGGTCCCAGACTTCCGTCCAATGGTTGGATATATGTATTTGCTTTGGTCTCAGTCTGATGCTGATATGGCCTTCCAGAGGACAGCCATCCCAGGCTTCTGTCTGTAAGCACACCATAGCATCAGTAATAGTGTCAGGCCTTGGTGCCCTCCCAAGAGATGGATCCCAAGTTGGGCCAGTCATTGGCCCTCTTTTCCTTCAGTCTCTTCTCTATTTTAGTCCCTGCAGTTCTTTAGACAGGAATAAATCTGGGTCATAAACTTTGACTGTGTGTTAGTAACCCAATCCCTCCACTTGAGGCCTTGTTTATCTACTGAAGGTGGATTCTTTGTGTTCCCTCTCTCTATTGTTGAACATTTTGGCCAAGGTCATCCCCATTGAGTCCTGAGAGTCCCTCATCTCCCAGGTCTCTGGTACTTTCTAGAGGGTTCTCTCACCTCCCACGCTCAAGGCTGTCTCCTGGCCCTCTCTGTTCCCCTCCATACCTGACCCTGTTTCTCTTTTCCCCTCCTCCTCCCTTCTACCACCCAGGTCCCTTCATCCCTTTGTTTCCCGTGACTATATTCTTCCCCTTTCTAAGTGGGATTGAACCCTCCTCACCTGGGCATTTCTGCTCGTTATACTTCTCACAGTCTGTAGGTTATATCCTAGGTATTCTGTACTTTTTGACTAATATCTATTTATCAGTGAGTACATCCCATGCATGTCCTTTTGGGTCTGGGTTACCTCACTCAGGATGATATTTTCTAATTCCATCCATTTGCCTGCAAGATTGATGATGTCCTCATTTTTAATAGTTGAATAGTATTCCATTGTGTAATGGGCACCTTTGTATTCACACAGAAACTTTGGGCTATTGGATCATCCCTGTACCAGTGTTGTACTCTTGTCAAGTGACTTGGGCTCCCATTTCCCATATCAGGCCATTCATCCCATACCTTCCGCATCTTGCCTGGGCTCTGAAACCTTGTGGCATGTGCCTGTCTTATGACTCCTTTTGTTTCCCTTCTTGAACTTGTTATGCCACTCTGGCCCATGCCTGTGAAATGTTCCCTCGCCATTGCTCGGCTGTTTATTTATCTTGTGTGATGCAGACATACTTCACTAGGCTGCCTCCTGGGTGGAGTGGGTACTCTTCTCACCCTGGTCGTATTCTGACCCATCTTGTCTCCTTTGAGCTGAGACACTAGACACAGGGTCAGCCACACTGATTGGCTAGAACTGAAATGTCCAGGAACATACTCGAAGGAGAAAGGCAAACATCTCAGTCTGTCTGAAATCCCAAATTCTTCTGTTTTGCTTCAAATTCTCTCTGTGTCTTAGTGAGCCGAAAATGTTTTCTTTGGTAAAATCTCACAGAACTAATATTTATGATACTTATACACCAGCCTGATGTTCCATAAGATCCAGGGAAGAGTTTTTATTTTACACCAAAACCCACCACTGGTTTTGTCTTTTCTCAGGTTAAATTTAGCACAGGAATTTCCCTGTTTGGTTGCGACCTGTTTGTCTTGCCTGCTTTCTGTGGACTTTGTACCGTGTGACCTAACACTTCATCTCTGCTGAACTCTTTACCTACCACAAATATGCCATGCCCTTTAGCACATTGGCAGGCTTTTTCCTTCTTTCCTGGTGTGCCCTCACCCTGTGTGGTATCTAGAAATTGCTGACTCATTCTTCAGGATTCTGATCAATTTGTCCTTCTCACTGGAGTCTTTCCCAAGTCCTGCTGGTAAGTAGGTCCTTCCTGCTTCTTCAGAGATGTTTGAAAATGGGCAGTTAAAACTCTACTACTGCCTGGCTGTATATAGTTCAGCAGATTGCTCAACCTATGCAAGTCTCAGCTTTCAGCTTCTTCAGGTGTGAAGTGGCTTAATAATTGTATCAACTTCAAACCGTTGTCATAAAGCAGAGAGGAGATCAGTGCAATGTTAATCTTTGCTGCTATTCTTATTCTTATTCTTATTAATTACTAATTATATTATATTTCTCATAAAAGAGTAAGCTCTTAACTACCGGAAGTAATTCAACATCAACAACATGATATGTGATCAGCATCTTCTGAAGGAATTAAGTCATTGTGCAAGTACTTTTTAAGTGTGTGCCATTGTGTTAGGCAATGCTGTGACCGAAATGATGATGCTTTCCGACCTCCTGGAATATACAGACTGGTGGGGAAAGAGGGAATTTTGCAAATAATTATACAGGTGAATGAACAAGGAGGTGAATAGAAACTGTGATAAGTCTTTATAAAAGGATAATGATTGTCATGGAAAGGTGTGTGGTCTTTGTCCCCAGTTCCTGACACAGCTTCTAAAGCTCTGGGATTTCCTGAGCTGGTGACCACAGGAGAACTGTTTGTTCTGATGAGGCAACACTTGGCAGACCCTGTAGTTTCAGGGTAAGAGTAGAGGTAAGAAACACAGAACATTCAATCCAATCCAGACACTTAGGTAATGGCTAGGGGCTGGATGTTGAACTCATTGTCAGTGACCACTGATTCGATTTACCATGTCGACCTAATAAAAACCCCTTCTTATGGGTGCTTGGGGTGCTTACAGTTTGATGATCATATCAAGGTTGTGGGGCTGTGGCATGTCCAGATAGGGCAGGAGAACTCTGTGTTTATTTCCTTCATTTCTTGTCATATATATGTGTTCCATTGGTGTTTATTAATTATATTGGTTAGCATATATAATTAATAGTACAGTGCTTGCTACAGACTTAAGACTCATGCTGTCAAATTGTCAAACATGAAGAGGGTTATAGGAGCCCTGAGTTTTGCAGTCAAGATAAATAGGAGTGCATAACTTGAAGACCTGATTCTTATGATTGGCACCTAGAAGAAGTTCAGTCTCATGGACCTGGAGCCCTTAAAACCTGCTGGATCTGATGGTAACTCTGAGTACCTCGATTGTATTGGATTGAGTGGCATGGCCTAAAGTTGGCATCACAATTAGTTGTTATCAAGGAGAAAAAAAAACCAATAACACCCTTCTTATTTTAGTATCAGAGACATTATACGTAAAATTGGCTTAATCAGACAGTGATCGAAATGATTGAAATGGGGTGACAACTTAGATAAGAAGATTTGAAGTATTTTTGACAATGTAAGTTTTTCCTGAGACCCAAATGCTGAATAGAAACCATAGAAAAGAGTCTGCATGTGAAAGTATGTGGTGCAAAAGAACTTGGCTTCATTATGCTCCATTTCCGGATGTGGGGGATGGGGGTGTAGGCAAGAAAGAGGTCAGAGTGAGACTGAAGAGGGAGGCTGAGCCATGCCTTTACAAAATTAAGGGACTTAGAATATTATGAAACATATGATGAGAAGCAAGTGTGCTTTCTGGTTATAGTGGTGGGCCTTCACTACAAAATAACATGACTATGCTGGAAAGAATAAGGTAGGGGCACACGGAGAGGGCATGAAGGTCCCAGGGAGATGTAGACCAGGTGGTGCAATAGAACAGAGATGAGGTAGGAGGGAGGGAAGAAGGGAGGGAGTAAGGAAGAAAGGGGGAATGAAAGGAGAGGGGGAGGAGAGGGAGGAGAAGGAAGAGGAAGAGGAGAATTAGAAGAAAGAGGATGAAGGAGAAGAAGAAGAAGAAACACATCTGGTGATGGTTTGAATATAGTGGGTATGTTCATGGGAGTCTGTCATGATAGCCAAGATTCCGAGTTATGTTTTAGGAAGGGGAGAAGTCTAAGGATAGTTCACTAAGCTAGAAGAAATTAGAGGAGGAATGGTTTTTCAAGAAAAGATATAATTTTGGACATGTCCAGTGTATCTGAGATCAGTACAGGGGCAATGTCAAGTTTACGGCTAACTAAGTGAATCTGGAATCCAGAGGGCTGGCATCGCAATACGTAGTAAATGTGAGAATTAATTGTGAGACTAGAAATGAAATCCTTATTCTTTCTTTCTCTATACTTCATTATTTAAAAAAATATGAATCTCATTTACTATAATCTTTCTGAATAATTGCCCTCCTAACTATTAGGTATAGATGAGTGCTGTTATAGTTTTAATAAGTGACCTCCATAGGCATATATGCTAATTTATTAGTCCCCAGACTATGGTACCTTTGCAGAAGTGGGGATTAAGGCAGGGAACATAGATCACTGGGGCACACCATTACAGGAGATATTAACATCCTGGCCATTTTCCAAGTCTCTTCTTTTGTTTTCAGGATGCCATGAACCTTGCCACAGATCCCAAAGAAACATGTCAACCAACCATGACTTTAGTTATGTTGCTGTGGTTACCAAAAGCTGACTAACCCAGTTGTGTTTGCACAAATCCAGTTTTCACTGAGGAGCAGTTGAATCAGTCTGTCACAGCAATATTTAAATGTTCCTTCGAAATGGAAGTGTTATGTAAAATTTTATAAGTAAAACTACAGAGCTTTGGTGGAAGTTGGAGTATATCATATAAAAGCTTCACTAGAGACATACAAAATATTATAGATAGCAAGTAAAACATGGTAACAAAGTTTTACACATGTTAAAGGGCTGTGATGTGCATAATTACTACAACAAACAGAACCTGACTGCAGACAGGGGCATTGGAAGGATTACAGCACACTAAATGGGAAAAGGACCGTTATTTGAAGTCGTCTGGGAAATTGTCATACCACCTATAGACAAATGCAGCTTTTTAGGCTAGACCCAAACATCAGTTCTACGATTTGCATCTTTAACTCCCAGAGCATACTGTTCTCTACCTTTGAATTGTAGGTCCTGCTAAGCGCACAATTTTAACGGACTTCCATTTTTTTCAAAATAGATAACTTAATGCAATTTGTCTTCAATTCACTTTTGTATTACTGCCTGAGTATTTTATTAAGTGTCCATCAAATTTGGACTTACAGCTTCATCAAATAGCTGAGAAATTTCCCATCAAAATGCTCATCTTATTACCAAGAGGAGCTGCATCTGTTGAATGTGTTGGTTCCTGTTTTAAGGTGTTGGTACGTATATAAGATTTTCTTTTTGATGATAAGAATGCTTGCTGCCATCTTTTCTGCTGTGCAGTCTTCCATGCACATGTTACTCAGTCTTGTTATTTATTCTTCTCTTGGAGGGCTTTAAAACACTTGCTATCACTGCATCCACAGACTTCCTAACATCTTCTACCACTGTCTCTCATGGTTGGCAGCGTGGGTTTCTCTGTCCCTGATGTGAACTATGTTTTACCTGTTCTCCTAGTTTATCCAAAATAGTTCATTTTACAACTCTCTGGAGGTCTGGAAGCTTTTTCTCTGTGCATCCTGATGTTTTTGAGGTAGGATATGTAGAAGAATTTAAGATTCCGAATGAGTATTTTTAAACACAAAAGTTCACGAATGCAAAATTTGGCAAAGATAAAACCTTGAAGTTGAACACATTGATGGTGAGTTTGGAGAAATTTAATGTGTATATGTGTGTGTGTGTGTGTGTGTGTGAGAGAGAGAGAGAGAGAGAGAGAGAGAGAGAGAGAGAGAGAGAGAGAGAGAGAGAG